GTGCCAAAAACATGGCTCAGTGCAGGCTAAGGAGCAGGATCACCAAATACATTGCTAGGAGGTTCCTTCAGAAACCAGTGGTTCTAACTGTGACCCAGAGAGGTGCCTCAGGGGCAGGCCGAGGGAGTCTCCACTCCTCCCTCTTCAACCAGAGCAGCCCAATTTTTAAAATCTGTTTTATATTCTGCATTTCCATAGAAGATTTCTAAAGAAAAGGCTATGCCACTTTTATAAAAGTTTGAAAGTTGCTGTTCTCTGCCACCTCTCGATTTTCCAGGTATAAAAACCAAGGCCTGGAGGGTAGAAATAACTTGCTCAGGGTCACAGAGGTCGTGATTGACAGACACAGGAGGGGCAGCAGGTTTCTGGACTTGAAGCTCAGAGCTCTCTCTGCCCTTCCACAACAGCCAAAAGGAAAAACAATGTCTCTGCCTCACACACTTTTATAGCATTTCTTGAGGATACTTTAGCTATAGGATAGAGAAACCTGGAAGCATGACAACTCTCCCAGGATTTTCCATCTCTTTCCTCTCACTTCACACATCTCTGAGGCAACTACCAATTTGGCTGCCTTGACACACGTCGAAGGATGCTCCCCGGGCTGGCTGCCTACGCCAGCCTGGGACCACAGCAGGTATAAATCAAATAGAGGAGAATCTTGATAATTGGACGACAAGGGAGATGGCGAACAACTTTCCTACTAAGAAGAGAAAACACTTCTCTATAATGTTGACTCCCCTAAAGTGAAATAAAGTTGCCCATGGACAAAACGAAATTATATGAACTTTTTTAAAGGCACAGTGATCTGAGAGAGTAAATGAGCCCTTGGTGTTTTCACTGTTAGGAGTACTCCAATTATTAGAGCAACAGTGTTAGCCTCTCTGTTCTTCTCGGAATAATAGTATAACTTTGTGCTCTGTCCACTTCCTGAGAGATAAAGGGATAGTCCAATACGAGTCTCAATTTGTAAGGGGCAGACCTCTTTCCCCTGTTAGGGCTTGTCGGCGTGATGCTAAAAATGGTCCTTTGGTTGACTTGTGAGTAATTGATTCTCTGACGCTGACAACACTTAGGGAAATGAAGGTATAAATGATGGCAGTGCCTGCGGCCACCAAAGCAAACGCCGAGCCTGAGGTCGGTGGAGCTGGAGCAGCGCCTCATCGCAGGGGGAGCCGCGCCGCCTGGCAGGTGAGAGGGTGGTCTAGGCGCTGGGCTGGATGGGGCAGCATCGTTGACCTGCCCCCCACTCAAACGCCGCGCCAGAGAGGCCCACCGCCATCCTTTTTGCCCGTGGACCGGTGAGTACACTCAGGCCCCACGGGAGGGGCTCTGGGACACGATTTTGATGGGTGGCGCCATACTGAGGTTGCCTGGGGTGTGTGGCCCCTCGACCTGTGGAGTGGCAGGCAGGCACCCTCCAGGCGTCTGCCGGGGGAGGGAGGTCTCCGCGCCCTTCGGGTGTGTGCAGGCAGGCTTCGGGGGCAAGACGGGGCTGGCGAGGCTCTCCTGCCCACGGCTCATCCTGCCATGGATGGGAAAGGAGCCAAGTGGCTGTGCGAATCAATACCGCGCATCGATCGCTCAGAACCGATTCAACATAATTGCCTGGAAATGGATCACATCGCGCTTTCTTGCTCAATTGCAGCTGCACCCATTCCTCCAGGCTTCAGACACAATTACCTTGCCTTTGGTGCGCTCCGTTACCCCCACGCTTGTTTCCTGACCCCTGCATTAATGGTCTTGGAGTACTTCTCTTTCATCACAAGCCACCTCAAACCCTTTCTGGAAGGAGGTGGGGTGCTGCTCTTTTGAGTGACAATTCTAGACAATTCCTCATTAAAAACTTAGATCTCCTAAGGCTTGAAACACTATTGGTGAAAGTCTATAAACTGGACCAGGGTCCTTAAATTACAAAGCAGAGTATTAAGAAAAGTAAAAGATTTTTCTCCTTAGGTTTCAAAAGTGGCCTTGCTAGTATGGACACTTGAGACTTGAGCTTTGTCATTAGCTGAAGGCACATCTGCAGGATTCTCGTGGCATGAAGGCTGGCGAAAGGGGCCACCTGATGTAGGTCAAGTGCCCGTTTACCCTGAATCCAGACGACCTCACATATATCTAATCCCAGAATTAGTTTGTAAGCAGTGTGGAAAGCTAACTGATCCTCGTAATGACAGATAATAAACCCTAAAACGCTTCAGAGTGATCAAGGAGTTGTCAAGAATGTTGTTGGATTCTTGTTACACTAAAATCAGTGAATCCTAGCTCCTTAGACCAGGCATGTGGAATGTGTCTGTCAACAGCTATTTTATCCTTGGTGATGAAACCTCTGTTCTACTCTTAGCATCAGCTGGATAATTCTTACTGTTTCCCATCTCTGTCCAATGGGATTTCCCAGCCTCATGGATTGGGTTCTCACAGCCCAAAGGTTGCCGTGGTATCTTCACCCTTCCCTGAGGCACTTGGTTTATGGCAGATGCTGTGCCTCATGGTTGACCAGCCTCCATAGTTGCTCATTCTGAATGAGCAAGGGGTTGCTGTATTTACTATGACTTGCCCCCCAAAGCCTGCCCTCTTACCAGGTTATTTTCAACTCTAAACCATTGAATGTGCGCGGGGACAGGCAAACCAAGCAGGTGTTCCTGTTTGTCCCCCTTTTTTCTTCCCCCAGAGACCCAGTGACAAAGAGCAAAAGCTTTCCGTTTCCTCAGCCCTGTTTCCCACGTGCAGGTGATGAATTCTGAAGCGCCCCATGAATGGGGAGCGCCGTGAATAGGGTATTGTATCTGGGAGGCTGCCCAGCGGAGCAGGAGGAAGTCGGGTGGCCTGGGAACTGCGAGGCCCATTCTGAAGTGCACACTCCGAAACTAATTTGACGGAGGACCATGGAAAAAGGCCCTCTCCTCTCTGGGCTCATTTCCTCGGCTATAAAATGAAGCTCGTGATACCTGCCCCCGAGGGCAAGGGTGAGGGTGGGCTGTGCGGGCCAGGAGGGCACAGGGGCTGGGAATCACTCCGGAAAGGGGGCAGGAGGTAGGGAGGCCAAGGGAGGGCTTAGGCCAAGAGAAGGGGTTTTGGCTTCGTTCTGGAGGGAGTGGGAAGCCAAGGTTCTGAGCAAGTGGGTGGGGTGATTAGGGGCTTAGATGTGCTCAGGTCTTTAAAAGATCAACAGCAAAGAAGAGAAGAATGCCCAGGCTGAAGCTGGGAAATGGAAAAGGCAGTGGTTATGTTAGGGGCCCTCTTTGCCTCTAAAGAGCTCCCTGCTTAGGAAACTCTGGCAGGGGATGGGGTCAGGAAAGGGAGAGCCACAGGCGACAGGTATGATGAGGACAGAAGACTGCAGACCTTTGGTTAGTTAGATGCAAAACACATCTAAAGGCCTCGTGGTGTGGGTGGAGCTCTGGGTGGCATGGCAGGTGGATGTCAAAGGGGCAGCCCCCAGGGGCAGATGCCTGGTTCTCACCTTTTCTCTAGCCCAGTCCTTACCAGAAGCTTAACAAGTATTTGCAGGATAAGGGAACTTGGACTTGACACAATGAGCAAAACTTCCTAACAAGAACTGCCTGGAAATAGGACAGGCTGGCTTAGAGGTAGTGAGCTCCCTGTCCTTCACCGAGTGTCTGAGCAGGAACTGGAGGATTGTCTGGGGGTGGGGCCGAGGGAGGGTGCACATCAGGGAGGGGCTGACGACAGAGGCCTGGATGGCAGCTCCCCCATGCTGTAGAAGTGTGGGGGTCCCGCCACATCGAGCTGCCCCATGTGTGCTCCCTTGGGTCTCAAGGCATCCCTGGGTCAAGGCCCAGTGTTTGGGAGAAGAGGAGTGATGCCCTTAGAGGGCAAGTGAACCCAGGAAAGGCAGGTGGGCTCTGCAAGTGCTGATCTGCAGCAGGACCAGGGAGGAAATGGAGCAGTGTGGGGTGATCAGGGGAAAGGAGGGGGTCTTGCCCTCTCTGGGGCTGATGAGGCTTCAGGATGGGTCTGTATCCCCATGGAGTGGGTATCCTGCTGAGGGGGGGTGCCATGGAAGATGGGACAACCCAGTCCCTTGGTGGCTGAGTCACACAGGGCAGGTCTGGCTGACAGCAGAGGCACCTCCCCAGCAGAAAAAGAAGAGGGTTCTTTCCCTGCTGGCTGTTCTTCCTCTAATTGCAGGGTACAGTGTCAGCAGGCCCCAATTAGGGGTAATTACGTGATCTATGAGATAATTCTACCATATGAGCTCCCCAGGCTCCCTGTTCTCTTCCAGGACTCAAGCTCTTTGGTGAAATCTAAGCACCTGGAGCAGGACTTATAGACTTCCCTTCCCTCCAACTCCACACAAAACCAAACCTGCTCATCCTACTCTGACTCCCCGAGCAAGTCTAATATTACATCATCACAGCAAAAGTCTGTGGCAAATTCCCCATATGCCTCAAATGCTTACAAGGGACCCTATGCAGTAGACAGAGTTATAGACTCCATTTTATGGATAGGGAAACTGAGGCCCAGAAAGGAGAAGTCACTTACCCTGGGACTCACAGCTAGTGATGGCAGAGCCTGAACATGGACTCAGGTTTGACTGACTCAGAGCCTGAGTTGTTAGCCCTGCTCAGTGCTGTCAGTGCCTCACAGGGGTGGGGGTGACTTAGGAGAGACTGAAGGAAGGTGCTAACTCCTCCCCTATCCCTTGCTGAGGCCCGAATTCCATGTATACGGTCTTACAGGAAGGGGCAGTTTCGCCATTATCTTTGATTTTCTGTTCAGCCCTATGAGGTCAGCAGGGTAGCGTTATCATGCCCATTTTACAGATGGAGAAAATGAGGTCAGAACTCAGGCCTGGCAGAGGCAGAGCTTGAACCCAAGTCTGTCTGACTTCCAGAGTCTGGGTTCTTCTTCCTGCCCCACACTTCCGAAGGACAAGCACCAAGGCTTAACAGAGCCAAGTCTAGGCCTGGGCCCAGCCAGCAAAGGGCACCCCTGTGACTATGGCTACATCTGACCTCCCCTCCTGCCATTTTCCAGGCGCCACCACCAGGGTGAAGGATGCTGCTCTGGGTGTTCTTCCTCATGGTCCTAACCCTCAGCAGCAGCTGCCGCTGCTCCTCGCCCTCCCCGACCCTCAGGTAAGCAGTCCTGCCAACAGGGCTGGATTTCTGCCACCCCAAAACCATCCTTGCTGGAGGAAGGGTGTTTAAAGGATGCAAAATCCAGCCACCAGCTGGCCCCAGCCAACTCCTCAGGCAGCCCGCACTGCCCATCTCTGGGAGGGGGCCAGGCTCTGAGCTCCAGAGAGGTCCAGCCCAGGCTCCAACGCTCTCTGGGGATGCACTGGGCAAAGGGCAACCCAAGGACCTTACCGGGCCCTGGTGAGTGCAGCCACCTTGTCCCCTCCCCACCAAACCACCCTTTGACCTTTGACTCCTCCCACCTAGGATGCCACGGTATGCAGATGCCATCTTCACCAACAGCTACCGGAAGGTGCTGGGCCAGCTGTCTGCCCGCAAGCTGCTCCAGGACATCGTGAGCAGGCAGCAGGCGTAAGCAGAAGTTCTAGGAATTTCTTTCCGCACTGCAAATGCATCAGAGTTTGGAGGGACTGGGTTTGGCCTCTTCCTGTGCACAGCGTCTGTCATTTCTGGGCCGGCCATAGCAGAAGAACCCCAGTGTCAAATCTCAGCTCACCTCTAGCTATTAAACGATCCGTAAACACCTATTACGCGCTTCTCCCTTTGCTGGGCCCCAACAGTAACAACACTGAGGGCAGTTACCAGTTGATTGTGACTCTGCACCAGAAACAAAGGCACTGTGTTGGGATATTTACATGCACTTGGCACAGTGCTGGGCACAGTAAGCCCTTGGTAGTGTTAGCCGTCATTCCTTTGTTATGTGCTCTTTCTAACAGTCCTATAAAGCAGGACTCTTACCCCCATTGCCCAGAGCCATTAATAGCTTCTAAAGGACACACACCAGAGTGGCAGAGCTGGGACCCAAGCAGCCTACCCCCACAGTGCCTGTACATTTTTCAGTTCTCATTTTGAAAAAATTTCAAACTTACAGAGATGTTGCATCAATGGTACAAAGGACTTTCACATACACTTCCCCATATTCAACATTTCCTAACATTTTTATCATATTTGTTAAACATGCACATGCAAACCCATATACACATTTATTATTTATTATTATTATTGTTATTATTATTTTGCTGAACTATTTGAGAGTAAATTGCAGTCATCATGACCTTCACCCTTAAATACTACTGCGGCGTCTCCTAATATCCAATGAAAGGACATTTCTTACATAATTGCAGTATAATTATCACTTAGAATCCCTATTCAGATTTCAGCACTTGTCCCAAAATGTCCTTTATAATAATTATTTCCTTTCCTGACTCAGGGTCCAGTCCAGGATCCCGGATTGCATTTAGTTGTCGTGTCTCTTTAGTTTCTTTTCATCAGGAGCAGTTCCTCAGTCTTCTACGCCATTGACGTTTTTGTTTGGTAAAGGCCGGTTGTTGGTAGAATGTCCCTCCTGTTGGATCTGCCTGATGCTTCCTCATGGTTAGAGTCGGGTTATGCAGCAGAAGTGCCGCTGGGTCCTCCTCCGGACTCTGTCACAGGAGGCACACGGGGCCAAGTCGTCCCATTAGTGGTGACAATAATTTTGATCACTTAGTTGACATGGTGTCTGCCGGGTTTCTCCTCTGTAAAGTTAATATTTTCCCCTTCGTAATTAATAAGTAACCTGTGGGGAGATATTTTGCAAATGTCTCTTTCAAAGCGTATACTGCCTTCCCAAATGTTGCTGAATCTAACTCATTAGTGTGGAAGCCTCCGTACCAGATATCAGAATAGGCACAGGGGCACACCCTGCTCTGCCCACTTTGCCCTGGCTTTTCCCAGGCCTCTCCACGTCCTACCCAAAGAGCAACCTCGGCTGTTTCTCTTTTCCTAATCAAATAGAGAGAGAAACCAGGAGCAAGGAGCAAAGGCACGGCTTGGGCGTCAGGTGGACAGCATGTGGGAAGACCAAAAGCAGATGGCACTGGAGAGCATCCTGGTGGCCCTGCTGCAGAAGCACAGGTAGGAATGCAAGCACATGTGTGTATATGTATATTGAGGGAGCTCAGAGGCTTCCTTCCCCAAAAGTCAGTAAGAAAAGGAAAGAATCTCCTCTCCAAAGGCATGGGGCTCTGCCAAGCCCTCCTGACACACGTCAGGAACTGGAAGAAGGGGAGAAAGTGTGTGAGAGCAACTGGATCTTATCCACTGCTGTATCTTCATATGTAGCAAGAGGCCAGGCTCAGTATCTGTGTCCAAAAATGTTGCTGACTCAGTCGTTCTGGGATAGGACCCAGGAACCTGAATTTTAACAAGTGTCCCAGAGGGTTCTGCTGGCCATAATCTGAGAGGCGTGCCCTGGGTCCCTTGCCAAGTTCACAAAACGATGAAGCCAAAGGAAGACCAGCCCCTCCTAACACCCTCAGGTAGGCTAGTGTGTGCCGCACTCATGCGAGAGAGAAATGGGCATGACAGTCACTCCCCATCTCACTGACCCCTCACATTCCCATGGGGAGTCGGGGAAGATGAGGAATGAGTTTTCCCATTTTATAGAGGGGGAAAACTGAGGCAAAGAAGGGGCAGCAGCTGGCTCCAAGCCCGGGACTGGCAGGCCCAGCCAACACCTGCTCTGCTTCTCTGGAGTTCCTTCGCATGCAGCCCACTTAACAAAGTTTCTCAAGAATAACACGACTGTTGGGAGAAACTCTGCTATATTTTTGAGGCTGATTTTCAACTGTGAGCACAAACGTGTCCCAGCATGACTCTGCCAGGCATTTCCAGACCTATTAAGCACACCCAGTTCCCAGCAGAACTCTCCATGTGCTCCCTCACCTTCTCTCCAACCTAATTAGACACCGAGAGCTCGGACAGCTCACCGACCACAGTCCCGCGGAGATACAGACAGCAGCAGGCTGACAGGCGGGCTGCAGGAGGGACGGGACCCAGGCTGGGAGGCAGGGTGCACACCTGAGCCCCAGGTCAGGTTCTGCAGCCAAGTTGCTGTACAAGGCAAGCTGGCTTCCTAGTTTCCTCCTCTGTGAAAGGAGGGGGTTAGCACCGACCACCTCTAAGGTCTCTAATGCCTCTAAGAATAATGCCTACCCTGTGCCTGATGCTGGGATTAGGCCATCATTCACCTGCTTTATGGCTCCCACCAGGCCCCAGTGGGGTGGAGTGGCCCCAAGGAGGCCAAGTCCTAAGAATACAGGCTTTGTTCCTGCAGGTTAAAAGTCAGAGGCTTCACAGAGCTCACATTCACAGAGCAGCAGGAAGGGGTCTGGAGGCTGCTACAGCCATTGTTCCCCCTCTGGCTCAACTACTGCAAATACCAGGGTATCACTGGTGAGCCCAAGAAAACATAAAATAGGCGTGAGCTCTGCCCTGGCCAGTGTGCTCCGTGGTTAGAGCGTCGGCCCACGCGCTGAAGGGTTTCTGGTTCAATTCCAGGTCAAGGGCACATACCTGGCTTGCGGGCTCACTCCCCTCCCCACCCCCTGGCAGGTCAGGTCGTGTGCAGGATGCAACTAATAGTGTCTCTCTCACATCGACGTTTCTCTCTCATTGATGTTTCTCTCCCCCCCTGCCTTCCACTCTCTGAAAAGCAATGGAAAAAAATATCCTCAGGTGAGAATCAACAACAAAAAGAGTGAGTTCTTCCACCTTGGTAACAGAGTCAAATTATTTGGCAGACAGCATACTTGCGCACCCACCACACTTCATGTCCGCCTAACAGCCCTGTAAAGTAACTGAGGTTCAGATTCATCTTCCTCCTGGCCCTAAAAAACCATCCAATGACTTTTATGCACCAGGCTCTGGGCTGCGGGTACAGCAGCGGATAGGACAGCAGTGGTCCCTGCTCTTGTGGCATTCAGAATGCACCGAGGCAGACAAAACATAAACAGGTACTTGTACAGTGGATTACTTAATTTGTGATAAATGGTAAGTGACATAAGGGGCATGGTGAAAGTGTGTGCCAGAAGGAATAACCTAATCTAAGTGTCTGGGGATGAGAGGTGACTGCAAGGGGAGGTGGCCAGCCTGGGATCTCAGTGGGAGTCGGTTGGCAGAACTGGGGCTAACGATGAGGTTCTTCTTAAAATTTATTTTAATTTATTTTTCAGTGACAGTTGACATGCAATATTATGTTAATTTTGGGTGCACAACACAGTGATTAGACACTTACACAACTTACAAAGTGATCACCACGATAAGTCTAGTACCCATCTGACACCATATATAGTTATCACAATATTATTGAGCATATTCTCTATGCTGAACTTTCCATTCCCATGACTGTTTTTATAACTGGCAATTTGTACTTAATCCCTTTGCCTTTTCCATCCATCCCCCAGACCATCTGGCAACCACCAATTTGTTCTTTGTATCTATGAATTTGTTTCAGTTTTGTTCATTAACCTTTTAGGACCATCCATGTTGTTGCAAATTGTAAGATTTCATTCTTTTTTATGGCCAAGTAATATTCATTGTATGTATGTACCACCTCTTCTTTCTGCAATGGCCTATTGATGGCACCTAGGTTGCTTTCATATCTTGGCTATTGTAAATAATGCCACAATGGACGTAGGGTTGCATATATCTTTTTGAATTCGTGTTTTGGATTTCTTCAGGTGAAGACCCAGAAGTGGGGTTGCTGAATCATGGGGTAGTTCTACTTTTAATTTTTTGAGGAACCTCCCTACTGTTTTACATAGTGACTGCACCAATTTACTATCCCACCAACAGTGTACAAGTTCTTTTGGGAACCAGACAGTCAGTCTTGACACTGGAGCATCCATCACCCTAGTTCCAAGTGTCCCTGCCCTAACTTGCCCTTTCTTCAGTCCCCCTGATTGAGCTTTTTCTTTCTTTCTGCAACAGGAATCCCCAAGGATGAAGATTCTGCCTGTGTTTTATGCTTCCTGCAGCCAAAACACAACTGTATCCAGTTAATCCTATTTAATTTTTGACCTACTTTTTCCTTTATAAACACAATAAAATTCCCCTGTCCTGGTCTGCAGTTCAATTTTCTTTTATCTTCAGTCTAATTTTTATGTGCTTTACATAGTTACATTTCCCAGAGTGGTATTACATGGTATAATAAAAAACAACAACTAACATTTACCAGGCGGGGCAGTACCAGCTGGGCAGCTTCACGTCTAGAATCTCACATGCGCCTCACACAGCCCAAAGGGAGGTGTTGGCATCCTTCTCATTTCGCAGACAGGGAACCGAGGTACAGGGAGATTAACTGATTGTCATGGTCACAGCCGACAAGGAGGGCGCTTGGATTTAAACCAAGGCAGTCCATGTTCTTCTACTCTGGGCCAAATTCATCCTTCATTCATTTGATGACTTGTTCATCTATGAGCAGGACCACTTATTCATTCATAGATATTTATAGAGTGCCTACTATGTGCCAGGCACTGTTTTAAGCACTGGGGATACAGTCCTGAGCAAGCAGACAAAGCCCCTGACCTCATAGAATTTATATTCCAATTAGGGGAAGAGTAAGAAAAACAAGTAAATATAGAATACGTCAGAGGGTGGCAATTACAAAGGATAAAAATGTAAGGGGATGGGGACCCTGAAGGGCATTTTATCTGTAGCATATCTACGCGCTGTGTAGTGGTCAGGGAAGGCCTCGGTGATGAGGTAGCACTTGAGCAAAGGCCTGAAGAAGGTGTTGGAATGTGAATATCTGGGTAAAGAACATTCCATGCAGTGACACCCCAACACACAGGCTCTGAGGCAAGAGCGGGGGCGGAGGGGGGAGGAAGAGCAAGGAGGTTAGAGTGGCTAGAACAGAAAGCAGGGGTGAGAGCAAGGAAAGGAGGCCCAGGTGGAGCAGGAGGCCAGTTCACCAGGACCCCGGGAGGCCCTGGTAAGGACCCTGGACCTCACCCTTGGTGAGACAGGGGTCATCACAGAGTTTAAGTGGAAGAATGACATGACGTAACTTGCATTTAAAGTCACTCTGAGATAAGGTCAAATTCTAGGTACATTTTTAGGGTAGAACTCATTTGCTGATGGATAGAGTATAGGGATTGGAGATGAGTCAAGAATGACTCCAAAGTTTTTGGCTTGAGCAACTGGAAGGCTAGAGTTGCCATTTAGGAGCTTAGGGTGTGGGAGAAGAATTAGGAGATGGGTTAGACATGTGGAAGCCTGAGATGCTATTAAAGGTCCAAGTGAGGATGTCAAGTAGGCACCTGGATTTACTGAGTCTGGAGACTGGAGTTAGGGCAGCCAGTTTGGTTTGGCAGCTGTCACCATTTAGATGATGGCCTTTAAAGTCAGGAAAGTGAATTAGATCACCAAGGAAAAAGTACAGAAAGAGTAGAGAAGAGGTCCAAGGACTGACCCTGGGGCACCCCCACATTTAAAGTTTGGAAGAAAGAGGAGGAACCAGCAAAGAAGGCTGAGAAGGAGCAGGCAGTGAGCTACTGGGAAAACTACAAGAGAGAAATTCCAGAAGCCACCTGAAAAAAAAGTGTTTCAAGAAGAGAGTGATCTACTATACCAAGAGGTGCTGATGGGTCATGTCCGTTGAGAACTGACCACGGAAGTGACCACGGGAGCCACTGATGACCTTGGCAAGAACAAATTGGGTGGAGCGGTGAAGGCAAAAGTCTGACATGAGTGGGTTCAAGAGCAAATGGTAGGAGAGGAATTAGAGCTGGTGGGTATAGACCCAGCTGTCCAATATGGTGGCCACTAGCCACAGGAGGGTACTGAACACTTGAAATGTGGCTAGTGTAAACTGAGATGTGCATTAAGTGTAAAATAGACACTGGATTTCAATGACAATATGAAAAAAGAATACAAAATAGCTCAAAAATTTTTTTGTATTGATTATGTTAAAATAATATTTTGGACATATTGGGTTAAATAACATATTAAAAATTTCACCTGTTTCCTTTTTACTTTTTTATTGTAGTTACTATGTAACTTAAAATCACCCATGTGCCTTGCATTACATTTCTATTGGATAGCACTGGTAAAGATAATTCTTTTGATTTTGCTATAAAAGGACACAGAACTGAAGCCACTGACCAGAGGTACCTATGTCCGTGATTGCTGCCGGTGGAAATGTTTTTTCATGGAATTGGGAGGAAAGCATTTCGGTAGACTCACCTGTGGGAGGATGAGATCTGGTAGTAAGATTTACTTGGATGGAAGCAGAAGGCTGCCCCCCAGGTTCCCAGTGTCTCACCTCCATCCCTCCTGCCACGGAAAAAGCCCAACCTTGTCTTTATCAGGCCCAGAAACAGAACCAGTGTCCAGGCACTTTGCACCTTTGGTTCAGTCCATGTAAAAGCTTAGTCCAGTCCAGTCTTTTTCCGCCCCCATCGGGCTCAGTCTATTCCCAGGTGGCTCCTAGGGCCACGTGGCTGGTATGGAGAGAAAACACAAGCCAACAGGGCAAGTTTATGTTACCGGGTGAGAGCGCGCTTTGTTAAGCTTGGGTTATATTATCTTGGGCTTGGGAAGGACCAGGCGCCCTTTAAAGCTAATCAGCTTCTCAGTCCTTCGCGGGCTGCGTTGGGCTCTCCTAACCAACACAGTTCCTAGATCTTCTGCGGCTCTGTCCCTTCTCGAATCTGATCCTTCTCCCAGGCTAGACAGGCCTCTTTGGTTGCCATCATGCGCCCAGCAGAGGCATTTCCCTTTATTGCTCTGTCCCATCGCCCCCACCCCCAGTAATCTGCAGGGAACTGCCCTGGGGAGTGTGTGAAGCTGTAGCTTCCTAGTGAAGCAGGCCCAATATTGGATTCAGCTTTCCAGTTTATTAGGCTTAATAATGTCAGATTCCCATTGCTCCCTTCTTTCATTAGTATCTAGCTAACTACGCTAATACTCAATTTTTTCTATTCACAAACTGTTTTACCTGGGCCAGATATTTCCACACATCACCAGCCCTTCCTATGCCTCTTATTAGAATCTGTGAACTTTCTAAGGAGATCAAAATGTTCTATATTTTGATTTAGATAATGGTTATACCAGTGTCATTAGAAATAAAAATTCATTGAGCTGCACACTTAAGATTTGTATATTTTACTGTATGAAATCTTAAAAAAAAAGGTGAAAACTCTGGATGATGTCTATTTTGATTAAAAGTAGAAGAATTACAGCATTTTAGAGTTGGTGGGGACTCAGAGATGAGCAATGCCACCCCCATCATTTTCCAGCTGGGGACATGCAGTCCCGCGAACCTGTCTCCCAGCACCAGAACAGAAAGCCGCCTTGGTTCTTCACAGGGTTTCTCTCCCTGGAAGCCCAGTTTACCTTCCAAGAAACAATGTGAAAGGCTCAGCAGGGGGCCACTGTGGCAGAGGAAACAATACGAACAATGGGGAAACAAAAGCCCCCTCCAGAGGTAAAGGCCTGCCATTGAGGGCAGGCAGGCAGTCCACTTCAACTAAGAGGCAGGCAGCTGAGAACCTGCCAAGGAACAGGGGAGGGGACTGCTGAATGGGGGACAGCCTGGGCCAGCCCCAAGCCCACTCCATCCCCCATACGGACCCACCTGCTCATCTCTTTCCTCAGCCTGCCCCCACAGAAGCAAACACTAAGGGCTCTCTCAGCTTCCAATTAGTTTTTCAAATGAAACAATGGTCACTGGGACCCGCTGCTACTTGCGGTTTTGGAGGTGAATGCCATTATAACCATGATGGCAACAATTCCAGTGCTTTATCACCATTAATGGCGACACTAATGGAGACTTAAAAGACTTAACCCCTCTCCACAGAGGTGCTGGGAGCTTCCCATCCCGTGGGGGTCCTACTTACAACGAAGTGCTATTTTTTCCCCCCTAAAGAAATGCTCTAATCAATGGGAGACTCGCTGCTTTCAATGATAATCCCCTATGTTTGTATTAAAATTCACAAAGAGGTTTCCCATGCATTCCCTACTACAGCCCTCTGGAGCAAGGCAGAGCACGGCTCTGTCCTCAGTGGAGGTGAGAGGTCAGGGGACTCAGCCAGGTCCTGCAGCTGGAAGGAGCAAAGCAGGAGCTGATTCCTGATTTCGGGGTACTGCTTTATTGTTTCAAGACCCCAGGCCCCTCAGGAAATGCAAGCTGGGCAATCAAGTCAAATTAAACAAACATGGACCTGGTACAAACTGTTTCCTGGGCTCCAGCTAACACCACACAGGACATAACAATATCTACACTAATCGGTGCAGAGTCAATGCTAAGTGCTAGGTACTGTGGTATGTGCTTTGGGTGTGAGCTCAATCCTTAGAAAGCCCTCAGAGGTATTATTCCCATTTTTACTGATGGGAAACTGAGGTCCAGAAAGGTTAAAAAAAAGATGCCTAAGTATACACAGAGAACTAGGGAATTCAGAGCAGGTCAGTTGGACTCTAAACTGCTGTGCTTAGTATTCCTTAGAGATGGCCCAGAACTACTGTGGGGTCAAAGAAGAACCAGAGATGCACAGTAGTAAAAGTGGTTAAAAGAGATTTTATTCAGGACACTGCAACAGGGCAAAAGAGACCTCAGTATAGAATTCAGCTCAATTCCAAATACTGCTTAGGCAGGTGGGAACATATAGCCAAGGAGCTGGGTGGGGAATCAGTGGATGGAAACTGAAAAGGAAATGTCAGGGGTCAGTAGGATTCTGGCTAAAATGACCTAACAGGATTCTTGAAGGCAGGTCAGGATGATCAGATATCAATTGGGGACTGGTGGAGGAGAGGAACGGATCAGATAACAAGGTGATCAGATATCGAGGGTGGGGGTGGGGGTTCTGGTTAAGCTGACTCAGCAGGTTTCTTGCTAAAACTAGATTCTATACTGAAATGCACAGATGGGCCTAGAAGAAGGTATGGGAGCCTGACTAAAGTTTGGTCAAGCAAAGATTCCTCATCAGTAGTGAATAATTTGAGTGCCATATCCAGTGGATTTCATTAGCTATAGGAGTTAGGCCTATTGTCAGCTCCAGCCTTCCCCCGACTCTGCCCTGTAGCCTTGCTTCAGAGCTGGGAGCTAAGGGCCCTTCAAAATGCCTCACCAGG